CCTGAGGTCATTCTTTGTTCTTCTGGATCTCCAAAGTCACTAGTACGTTGACACTCCTGGCCCCAGTTATTCTATGTCAGTTCTTTGCTGCCACTGAGCTGTGCCTTGGTTCTCTGCTGCCGTTAAGCAGCAAGAATGTGACTTGCTTTTCTCCCTGCCCAACCTCTTTAGGTTATGCAGGTTGTGAGGGAACAGATCACACGGGCTCTCCCCTCTAAACCAAACTCCTTGGACCAGTTCAAGAGCAAACTACGCAGCCTGAGCTATTCTGAGATTCTGCGACTACGCCAGTCTGAGAGAATGAGCCAAGATGACTTCCAGTCACCACCTATTGTGTAAGTGCCTAACAAAACCAGTTGCCTTCTGTGCTTGCTGTTATCTCCGTTTTCTGCTTACGCTTCTGTATTTGATTTCCAGGGAGCTGAGAGAGAAAATCCAACCTGAGATCTTGGAGCTGATAAAGCAACAGCGCCTGAACAGGCTTTGTGAGGGAAGTAGCTTTCGAAAAATTGGAAATCGCAGAAGACAAGGTGAGGTGACAGTGTCTACTGCATTTTTTCATGTGAAGAACTGTAGGCAAGTAAGATTGAATGGATTAACCTGTCAGCAGGCATGTTGCCAGAAAGGAAAGCTGGTTACTGGGCTGTTTATACCAGCCAGTAGTTTGGGATGGAACAGATGTGCATTTCTTAGATTACTGCCATCCCCTCATGAACAGGAAGCAGTGCTGAGGAATTGGGGGAGTAGAGGGATTGGGTGGGATGACTATAATGTAGTGGCTGTAAGACCTTATGGGAATGATCTTGCTCAGCTTACTCTACTTGATGTGTGTTCCAGAAAGATTTTGGTATTGTCGCCTGGCTCTGAATCACAAGGTGCTACACTATGGAGATCTGGAAGACAATGCCCAGGGGGAAGTGACCTTTGAATCTCTACAAGAAAAAAGTAAGTCCCGATTACTGCTCTGAGCACACTGTCCAATGTTCTGTGCTCTGCCGTCTAGAGGCTGTTACGAGTACCATCCTAGAGATGAGAGAAAAAGAGCTGTGGCTGAAGCCCTGACTGAGATGAGATCAACTTTTGGTCCTTGCCCAAATCCTCTGAGTCTTGGAATTGCTTGGTATTTCTTATAACAGCCAACTGTAGGGATGTGTTACTGGTAATGTGTTTTGGAAAACTGCAGTAATGAGCTACAAGAACAGGAACAATGCTCAATTGCAAAGACAAAACAAAGTTCTGTCTTTCGTGGTTAGGATTTCTTGTTTGTGAGTTTTACTTTTTCACTGTTAGTTCCAGTTGCAGACATCAAAGCCATTGTCACAGGGAAGGATTGTCCACACATGAAGGAGAAAAGTGCACTGAAACAGAACAAGGTAACTGCTCCCTTTTTACCTGTAATTAATATCCAGTGCTGTAGAGTTGAAGACTGAAAGCAAGCAACAGGAGCAAATGGTTTTCCACACTGCAGGTGTATTGTTTACAAAACCCATCTAATATCTGGGCCTTTTCCTAGTACTCATTTGTGGTAGCTAGGTGCCGTGAGCATAGTCTGGTTGTGCTATAGGCTGCTCAGAGTTGCTCAGAATACTGATACGGGAAAGTTCACTGAGCTGCAGCAAGGCAGCTTCTCTTGTTGGGTTAGCAGGCGGAAGGTGCTGTGATGTTTTGTTCAGTCAATGAATGAAAGATTCTTTTCCATTCAGGAAGTGTTAGAATTGGCCTTCTCGATACTATATGATCCTGATGAGACCTTGAACTTCATTGCACCTAATAAATATGAGGTAAGAAACATAGCAGTTAAGCAGTAGAGTATAAAGCAATTAACTTCAGAGATTAAGAAGGATCAGTTGCTTCTCATTAAAGGCTTGTGCAGGATGTCTCCCACCAGGTTCATTCTTAGAAAATGTTGCCAATGCTTAGTGTGAATCTTCCCCCCCCCCCCCTCCCTTTTTTTCTTTTTTTAAAAAAAAAAAAAAATTCCTACTCTAATTTTCCTTAGTCTGGACTGCTACTTTCTTTCCTCCTATGCAGTCGGTTGTTCCCTTTTTCCTGTTCTATAGAACACTGATGCCTAAAATAGCTTTTGCTATTGCAAAAAGCAAAATAGCTTTTTGCTTTTTCTGTTATGCCACAATAGAAACTCTTGTTTCTTGGCCCTCTCCTAGAGCCACGGTGTCATGCTTACCTCTAGGCTTCTAACTTCCATTGGAAATCTCTGTGGGCACTGTTCTGGGGTTGGGGTTTTTTTCCCCCCCATAGGTTAACTCCCATGTTTCCTATTTTGGAGCTGTGTAGGAGTATCTCTAATTGTTGCATGAACGGCAAGATTCAGCATAACCTATCATTTATGCCTGGAGCTGTGAATGATCCTTTTTTTCCACAGTACTGTATCTGGATTGATGGGCTTAATGCTCTCTTGGGGAAGGACATGTCCAGTGAGCTGACTAAAAGTGACCTGGACACATTGCTGAGCATGGAAATGAAGTTGAGACTCCTGGACTTGGAGAACATCCAGATCCCCGAAGCGCCACCGCCCATCCCCAAGGAGCCGAGCAGCTACGACTTCGTGTACCACTATGGCTGATGGGGACTGAGCTGCACGGGCTGCTCCAGGCAGCCTCGGGCCCGCGGCGGGAGGCTGGCACCGTTGTTACTTGCACGGAGCCCGCGGTGGGCGCGACCGTCTGAGCGTGCTCTGACTTGGAGAACATCCAGATCCCCGAAGCGCCACCGCCCATCCCCAAGGAGCCGAGCAGCTACGACTTCGTGTACCACTATGGCTGATGGGGACTGAGCTGCACGGGCTGCTCCAGGCAGCCTCGGGCCCGCGGCGGGAGGCTGGCACCGTTGTTACTTGCACGGAGCCCGCGGTGGGCGCGACCGTCTGAGCGTGCTCTGTGC